GTGCGTGGGAACTGACTAGCCAACACCTCTAACAGCTGCCTTCTGTTGTGCGTGGGAACTGACTAGCCAACACCTCTAACAGCTGCCTTCTGTTGCTAATATTGGCAAATCCTCTCTGGTGGTTTCTCATTGTGTGCACGCCTCATCTGCGTTTCTCCCTCAGGTTTGGGCCCATGTTTTCAAAAAAAAAATCTCTGTGAGCCTAGCTGTTTTCAGTCACCTCAAAATTCTCATTTCTTCCTCTTTTTTGTTTGTTTTTGCTGTTTGCCTTTGAGTGATTTTTTTGTAGATCTCAAGCATTTTCATCATCCAAAAGGAAATGCCCATACCTGTCGGGGTCTGACCTCGACATAGTTGTGTTGTTCACGAGTGTTTGGTTCTCGAGGAGGGAAGATCCAGCAGCGATAGAGATAGCGAAAGAATACATAGACAGACAGAAGAAGGGAGACAAGGAGGTACCCAGAAACCAGGGTGGATGCATCACTGGTGGGCAGACTTGGGGCTACAGGCATCGTGGCCTCTGCAGGCATCAACTCACTGCCCTGCCATCTTTACTGCATGCCCTCCAACCCGTAATGCACTGCAGTCTTTACTGCATGCCCTCCAACCTGTAATGCACACCTGGGGAGGCCCGGGCCTCTGTTTTATTTAGGGGAGGAGCTTCACACTAAGCTGGGAGGGACTTAAGCAAGGTACAGCTAACATCAGTACTTTTCCAGACATTCAGGTAACTTTACATCATACTTCGCTGGTTCGAATCCCAGGCCAGCAACTTGGTTTCTCAGGCTCAATTAACATATCTATAGCCAGCAACTTGGTTTCTCAGGCTCAATTAACATATCTATAGCCCCTGAGCTCAGTTGGGGGAAGGTGAGAGGTGAGGACAAAAGCTTGGGCGGAGTCCTGCTGCTTAGGCTTCCTGAGCCAGGTTTTCAGGAGGACTGGAGAAGCCCAGGTGAATGGGCTGCACCTGGAAAAGGGATTAGGGAGGATGGGTTCTTTGTCTATAGAACAAAGAACCAAGAAGCATCTAAGATACTTTTAGTTAATCCTTTGGAGGAAGGCTTGCCTTGCAACCTTTACAGTCTTTAGGAAAATATTACATTTATCTGTGTATATCAAGGGCTTCTTGTCTGCAATTAATAAATATAACTGAACACTAAGATGAAAAACAATTTGCTATTGACTGCCAGTGGCCTCATTTATTACACTCGGGCCTATAGGGCCTCGAACCTCTGACCAAGCTTACACGGTCTGCGACACATACCTTTGAGTTCTCACCCCCCAGCCTTCCCATCTGCTCAGCCCCTGACAACCACTAGCCCCCTTTCCATCCCTGGGTTTCCCTCCCTCTCCAGGACATTTCCTATCAGGGGAATCACATACCGTGGGGGCGCCTTTTTCTGTCTGGCTTCTCTGACTGAGCATGTAGCATGTATCACAGCTACGTTCATCTTCACGACCCAGTAATATAGCCCATCGTCTGGGTGTACTGCATTCTACTGTGGCACTGTGGGATCAGCACTGGCTGTCAGCCACAAGGTCAGCAGTTCAAACCCACCAGATGCTCCTTGGAAGCCCTCTATCAGGTGGCTGAGTCAGAACCCACTCAACAGCATTAACAACTATTTATTACTTAGTTGATCGGTGTTGGGTTGTTTGTACTCTAGGAATAATATTTCACCTACAATGTTTGTGCAGTTGTTTTCCGTTTTCATGGGTACAAACCTAGGAGTAGAATTGCTCAGTCCTATGGTAGTTCTCTGTTTAGCTTTTTGAGGACCCGGAAAACTTTTCCCGAGTGGCTGCACCTTTTACATTTCCACTAGCAGTGTACGAGGGTTCGTTTCTCCACCTCCTTGCCGACATTTGTTACAGTCCGTGATGTTGATCATCGTCATCCTGTTGAGTGTGAAGTCGGAGTTCCCTGTGCCTCTGACTTGCATTTCGTCTCCCTCATGGCTTCTCATGGAGTCCTGAGGTGGCGCTGCAGGTTAATGCACTGGATTACAAGGTCGGTTTGAACCTCAAGGTCTGGGGTTCAAGCTCAGGTGTTCCTCGCAAACCCTCTACAGGCTCTTTGTGGGTCTGAACCGACTCGACAGCACTTCACAACGATAACAAATGGCTAGTGACAGTGAGGGCACTGCAGGGTCATGCACTGGACCGCAAGGGCAATTTGTACCACAAGGTTGGTAGTTCTAACTTACCAGCTGCTCCTCAGAAACTCTATGCAAGGTAGCTAGGAGTCATAACTGACTCAGTGGCACGTCACAACAACACAACAACAATGCTAATGGAAGGAACCCTGGTGATACAGTAGGTTAAGCATTGGGTTGCTCACTGAAAGGCTGTTGGTTTGAAACCACCAGCTGCTCTACAGAGAAAGCTGAGACGGTCTGCTTCCGTGGAGGTTGCTGGTCTCGGAAACCCTTCTGAGCACTTCTTCCCTGCCTGTAGGATCCCTTTGTGTTGGTGTAGACTTGCTGGTCTTGGGTTAATGGCTTATCAGAGTCCCCAAGTGGGACAAAGTGGAAAAGTGCTGCATGGCTAACCCAAGGCTGGAGGTTTCGAGACCAGTCAAGGGTGTCTTGGAAGAAAAGCCTGGCCATCTCCTTCTGAAAAAGCAGCCACCGAAAACCTTAGGTGCACAGGTCCACTTTGATGACATGGGGTTTAAGGTGACATCAGAGTGGGCTGACAGCATCTGGTTCTGGTTTAACGTCTAATGAATGTTCTTTTCATGTGCTATTGGCAATTTGTATCTCTTTGGAGAAATGTCTGTCAAAATCCTTTGTCCAGGTTTTCATAGGTTAGCTGTCTAAGAATTTTTTTTTTTTTTTTTTTTTTATCCATTTCATTTCAGACTGGAGGACTCAACTGAAAACTGAAGAGTCAGCTTCTAATGAGGATATTTTTGGAGAAAATATGTTCAAAGGCATGCCCCTGGTAAGACCCACCTGGGCTTTGATGCTGGTGCTTCACACAGAGAGAGCTGCGGGGTGGCATGGGGGGGGAGGTCCAGAAGTTAGGGAGTCAGCACAGAACCAGGGAAGGGGAGAGCAAGGGCAATGGAGAGACTCTACAGGAAGCAAGAGGCTTTCTGTGAGGACAGTAGGTAAACATCTCTGTCTGCTGGGACCTGTGGTCTCTCTTACAACTCTGCGTTAGTTCGGTAGTCAGTACATAACATAAATAAATAGCTTCATTTACAAAAACCAGCAACGGGGCCCAGATTTGACCTGCAAGCATAGTTTGCTGACCCCGCCTTAAAAGCAGAGCAAGCTTTTGTTTTCATAGCGCAGAAGTATTCCCACAGATTAACATTCTCACCAGTGAGAATTCATAATCAAACCCGTGATCCAAACACCACTTTCTTTAATAAGTCTTCAGCATGATCGAAGCTTCTGGAAAAACACTCCCACAGGAAGGAGAAAGTCTACAAAACCTTGAGCTGCTCAGTACCTGAAGCCATTCACACCCATCCAGAACTGTGACGTAGTCACTCAGAACACTACGTGACCTAGCAGGGCACATGCAGAATCCCTAGGAACTGAAGGAGTGTAACTAAAATACGAGGAGGCCAGAGAGCTGAGTCCGCCTCACAGTGGCCCCGTGTGTGTCAGAGTAGAGCTTCATAAGGTTTGCTGCAATGTTCACAGAAATTGATCACCAGGCCTGGCTTCTACGGTGCCACTGAGTGGGTTTGAACTGCCTACCGTTTAGGCTAGCGGCTACTAGGGCATGAGGTGAGGGAATAGGGAACGCCAGTTGTGATCAAGCATTCTCTTACCAGCAGGCGCCGACACACACGGGGGCCAGGCCCCGGCAACGTGGGAAGTCGGCAAGGAGGAGCCTGGACCCCACGTGGCGCGCAGGAAGCCCCCCGGACGAGAAGCCCCACGTGTGCGCAGAGTGTGGGAGAAGCTTCCTTCACCTCTCCTCCCTGCGGCGGCACGTGCGCACCCACTCTGGCGAGAGCCCCTACGCATGCCAACGCTGTGGCAGCGCCTTCTGCCACCAGTCGTCCCTCAAGACCCACATGAGGACCCACACGGGCGAGAAGCCATTCACGTGTGGCCAGTGCGGGAAGCGCTTCAGCACACGCTCCTACCTGACCATGCACGCGCAGATCCACACGGGCGAGAAGCGCTTCGCCTGCGGTGTCTGCGGCAAAGCCTTCAGCAGGAGCTCCTACCTGCGCGTGCACCAGCGGACGCACACGGGCGAGAAGCGCTACGCGTGTGGGGCCTGCGGCCGTGTGTTTGCCCATTCATCCAACCTCCGGAGGCACGTGCGCACCCACACCGGTGAGAAGCGCTACCGCTGCGGCCGCTGCGGCAAGGCCTTCGTCCAGAGCTCCTCGCTGGTGGTGCATAGCCGGACCCACACCGGTGAGAAACCCTACCCGTGTCCGCAGTGTGAGAGGGCCTTCATCGACACTTCATCCTTCCGGAAGCACGTGCGGACCCACGCCAGGGAGAAGTCTCACGCCTGTGTGCAGGTCGGCCAGACCTTCAGTCGTGGTGCGCCGCTTGCGGTGCACAAGCGAGTCCACGCCGAGGGAAACCCCCGGAACGCAGTGGATGTGAAGTTGCCTTTACCCCTGTCCCTGCCTTAGCTTCCAGCTGGACCACTAATCTAAAGGCTTGTGGAAGAGCAGGCTGGCAATCTGAGTGTGTAAAGGATGACGGCCAAATAAAAATGTTCGGAGCGCTTCTCCTCTGTAACGCCGGCGTGGTCAAGAGTCGGCATCCATTCCCCGCATTTCCCATAGGATAGACAGCAGCCGGTGAATGTTCAGGCTTTGGCTCATAACACAAGCCTTTAAAGATTGCTCAGTGGTGGTGGTGGTGGTACAGTGGGTAACGGCTTGGCTGCTAACTGAAAGGGGAACGTTGCCTGGAGAAAGATGAGGCGCTCTGTCCTGGAAAGATTTCCGGCTGTGGACACCCTCCGAGGCAGTTCTACTTTTCCCTGTAGGGGCCGCTATGAGACGGAATCGACTTGACAGCAATGAGTTAGGCTTTTGGTTATCATAAGGACCCCTGGTGGTGCGTATGGTTCAGTGGTTGGCTGCTAACCAACAGGTTGGTGGTTCAAACCCACCCAGAGGTGCATCAGAAGAAAGACCTAGGGATGTTTCTGAAAACAGCCGTTGGAAACACTATGGCACACAGTTCTATCCTGACACACGTCGGGTCATCATGAGTCACAACCGACTCTGTGGCCGCTGCTTGCCAGTGGACAGTGCAGACGTGTAACATGCTCAGCTGCTGACTGAAAGGTTGGAGGTTCGGATCCACCCAGAGGCACACTGGCAATCTGCTTTCCCATAAATCAGCCTGGAAAAGCCTCGGGAGCACAATTCTGTTCTGACACACGAGGCGTCCCCCTGAGTCAGAATCCATCCGCTTGCTGGTTACTTGGTGTTTGGCTGTTTATTAGCCCTGGCAGTGCCCCAGGAACTCACGTGCCGGGGAAGTTGTGAGTCTCTGCGTTTTGTCACCATCTCATAATTGTTTCCTTCTGTCTACTGAGACTTTTTTGACTCAGAGATTATTTTGGAAAACAAAAAAAACATGAACGTTATAGTAAACGGGAAGTTGATTTCTGGCTTGCTGACGTTGTGGTCCCAGTACTGGCGTATGTAGTGGGAAGTCTGCTATTTGTGGAGACCCTGGTTGGCTTAGTTGCAGGGCCCTCTTGTGATAGTTGTTAGGTGCCCCTACGGAGATGCTGACTTACAGTAACCCCATGTTACAGGATAGAACTGCTCTCGGGGAGCTGTGGCACTGTAGGGATAAACACTGACCTGCTGTCCGCAAGGTTGGTGGTTCAAACCCATCAGCCGATCCTTGGAAATCCTGTACAGGGTCACGATGAGTCAGAACCAACTCGGCAGCACTTAACAATCCCTGCTTTACACAGACGCTGTGACTTGGAACCGACTCGAAGGCACTTAGTTAACGACCACCTCTGCTATACAGGGTTGTTATGAGTTGGAACCGACTCCAAAGCACATAATAACAACAATAATGAGTCAGAACGGGCCTTGGTGAGACTTCACAACAGAAGTTCCTATGGAAGGAGCCCTGGGTGTCCAATGACCAAGCATTTGGATGCTAACCAAAAAGTGGGTGGTTCGAACCCTCCAGTGACTCTGCAGAAGACCTGAGGATCCACTTGTAAAGATTTCCTCTGACTACCTTCAAGTCTGTGCCGAATCACAGCGAGCCTGTGGGCAGAGGACAGCTGCCCCACAGGGTCTCCGAGGCGGTCATCTCTACAGAGGTAGAAGGCCACATCTTCTGCAGAACAGCTGGTGGGTTCAAACCACCGACTTTCTGGTTAGCAGCCTAACACTTAACCCACTGTACCACCAGCCTAGGAAACCTATGGGACAGTTCTCCATCCCGCGGGGCTGAGCTGAGTCAGAGTCGCACTTGACAATGACGACAGCCTTCCCAGGAGCAGAGCCACTCGGTGGGTTCAAGTGGTAACCTTTTGATTAGCAGCCAAGCGCTCAACCACTGAGCTACCAGGGCGCCTTCCTGACTAATAGAGCCCTGGTTTTGTTCTGGGCAGCAATGATCCCTATTTAAAACAAACCAAACAAGAATTTCATAAAAATACCGCCTTCTAGCCTTCCCTGCATCTGAGGGTTGCCAGATCTCAGGAGAAAAGTCTCCGAGGATAGAAATGACCAAGTGTCCTGTCCTGCCCATGGCCCTCCTTCCTTCTCCCTTTCTTGTCCTGCCTGGAGTCCCAGCCTGGACCCCATGGAGCTCCCCAGGGCAGTGGGGATGAGACCCCTGTAGCATTTCAGCCTCTTCACATGGGATAGACAAGTTCTGTGCTGGTTGAAGCCCCTGCTGTTTTACTTTGGTTAATTTTTGGGTGTGTGTGTGTTTTAAATTTTTTTGCTTACTCCTGGAGAACATTAACTGGGTAAGGTGTTTTTGGTTTTGTTTTTCATTTTTTCATCTCTTAATCCCGGGAGAAGGAGACCATGCTTTAAAGTTGAGGGTTAGTGTAAAAGCAGCAGCCCTCCCCTCCCCCCCCCCCCCATGACAAACTCAGAGACTGCAACAATGGGAGGATGTGAGGCTCAGGACCAGACTTATCGGATTCCGTTATGCACGGGGTCACTAGGATTTGACGCCCCACCCCCACCCCGAACTGCAACACTGCTTTGAGTGATGGTAAATTCGCTGGCAGGACCTGTGTCCCTACCCCCAGCCGTCTCCTGTGATGTCTCCTGACTTGACTGTTAACACTGCATCAAACCGGGAAACCGGAAGTGGTGCAACCCCCAGAGCTTGTCGGGATTTCAGCAGCTTCCCGTGCGCAGGTTTGCATGCATGTCCATTGTATCACGTGGCTGGAATTAGGACACAGACTGTCCCATCCCCACAGAAGTCCCTCGTGAAACCACTGTGTGGGCCAAATGGTTTGTACTGGACTGCTGATCTGGGGAGGCTTGAACTCACAGTGATGCCACGGAGGGGCTCCTGGCAGTCGGCTTCTGCAAAGTGACACCGTGTGAAGCACGTGGGGCATAGCTCTGCTCTGACACACATGGAGGGCCACACGTCGGAAGCAACTCCACAGCAGCTGGGCAGGGGCAGCCCATCTCTGCTCCACTCCACCTCGAGGCGCAAACAGGTAGTGTGTTCCCTGGGCCCATCTGTTGTTATAGCTCCCTCCGTGTCTGTCTGTCTGTCTGTCTGTGGGGATGAGAGGAGTGCATGTCCGATAGTACGTCAGCCCATAAGGAATGCAGTACCGTAGCTCTCTGTAAGCAAACAGAAGGAGCTGTTTTTATGACAGCATTGGTACTGACCGGGTCTCTGTCTAGTCTGAAAGGAGACCAAGCTCATGCCACATAAGAACAAAGGTGGCTTTTGTGACTGGGACCGTTCAGAAAAGTGTCCTGGTCATTGTTGCACACTGTGAAGAAAGGAATCATCGGGACTGAATTTGACATGTAGAAATGGTTGAATTGACAAATGTTTTGGCGTGTGTATTTCATCACAATTAAAAAAAAAGCAAAACAAAACATCCATCAGTGATTGGGCTTGTCAGTCTTGTAAAGTGGGCCTGTTAGTTATGATTTGAGGGAGTTTTGTGTTTGCATTAGTCACCACGAGGTGGTAGCAGAGAGCAGCTGTTGGATTTCAGCCTGTGGTGAAGCCTGTCCACCCAGCATGTGTGTGTGTCTGTAGCCTCTGGTCTCCTGGTGTGGCGCTGTAGGATCAGCGCTGGACTGCTAACCTCAAGGCCGGCAGTTCAAACTCACCAGCCCCTCCTCGGAAACCCTATACAGGGTTGCAATAAGTGAGAACTGACTTGATGGCACGTAATAATAACAACATAACAACATGGTCTGCCCAGGAGCCCTGGTGTGTAGCTCTAGGATAAGCAATGGACTGGTAACCACCCACCAGCTGCTCTCAGAAGAACATATACAGGGTTGCAATGAATCAGAAATGACTTGATGACAACACAACAGTCTGCTCAAGGACCCCTCATGACACAACAGTTAAGGGGGCTCAGTGGCTAACCCCTTTTAGTGGTTCTACCTTGGCAATGTGCTCAATAAAGATCCCAGTCAAGAGAACCCGATGGGACATTCTGCTCCACCCTGTCGGGTCACTGTGGACCAGACCGGAATGGCCTCAGTGGTAACCAAGTTTGGTTTGGGTTTCAGGGTAATGTAGAACCGTCCCACCGGGTTTCCAAGTACGTCATTTCCCTGCCCCCCCTCCCCCCATTCCTGTTGTGAATCTGGTGAAGGGTCAGAGAGCAGCTAGCAGCTTAAAGATGGAGTGTTTGCAGTAGCAGAGCCCCAGGCCTTTCCTCTGTGGACTGACTGGTGGGTTCTAATGACCCAGCTCTTACTCAGCAGCCAAGCGCTTGACCATTGTGCCACCAGGGCTCCTTGTTAGGAGAAGCCACTTTTCTCCTTGTCAACCCTTTACACACCAGTGTTTATGAAACCGTGCACCTTCTAGGAGTCCTGGTATTAATGCAGTGGGCTGCAAAGTCAGTGTGAAGAGCAAAGTCAGCGGTTCAAGCTCACCAGCTGCTCCTTGGAAACCGTATACGGGGTTGCTATGGGTTGGAACCAACTCGATGGCACTTCACACCACCACCTTGTAGCGGACCAGCAAGCATGATTCTTTTCAGTTCCACTTAGAGGGGAAACTACAAGGGACACTAGGTTTTGAACCTCCTGAATTTTGACCCGATGTGTTTAGTATATTTAGTGTTCAGACCCAACCCAAATTTATAAAGGCTGTGTGTTTGTGTGTGGTTTTTAAGATTCTAAATGGGAAGTCAAGCCCCTCAGGCATGTATATCCTAATCACCTTTCTAAAGTCTTCATGGTGTTGGTGGAAAGTTACTAAAAAGGCAATCGCCCATCCCAGAAAGCCTCTCCACAAAAAATAGAAGAGAAAGAAAATGGCACTGTTGAGTAAGCCTTAAACCGAATGTGCCCTCGTCAGCTACAAGATTACAGGGACCGAAGGAATCTGACCTTCTAGGCTTGAGTGGATGTTACCGGCTCGCTCTGAACGAGTT